AGAAAATATATTCCACTCTATAGGATTAGGAAATAACATTTTCCATTCATCGCCAGTGTCATGTCAGTCTACCGAGTTCTCCACCCGTTTTACCCCAGGACGTGGTACATCCCGCTATGGGACATCATTATTGAGAGTAGATGTCTTGCATAGAGGCAAAGCTCTCTAATCCCAATGCCAGATAATTCAGTGCAAAGAGGATTAGCTCCACCCCAGCAGAGCCATTGGCTAAATTTAGCCCCCTTGCTCTGTGTCTTCACCAGTCTGCATTTAACCTCTCTTTAAGCCCCGCCCAGCAGCTTCTTCCCCCATGCTTCCAGGCACAGCGTTCAGTGCTGTCCACCAATCAAAACTCTTCCTCATTATTATGTCATCATGACGTTCAGAATGGTTTGCAATAAAATAATCCAGAAATGATGCCCTATCATTGGAGCCCCTTTAAAAAGATGGCAGTGTCACAAAGACTGCTTTGCTTTGATGAGGAGCTGTCCTCAGAGGGAGATGAAATGTTTGCGTGCTAATACACCATTCTGGGGCATGTCTCAAAGCTTCAGCCTTTGGTTCACGTAGCAGGATTACAGCTAATGGTGTGTGGAGCCCTGTCCCAGGAGGAGAGGCACAGGCGGCTGCACACAGACATATCATGCAACCCAGAAAATGAACGGCTGCTAGGGGACTATTCAAGAAAAAGTGATAGACCCACTGTTTCTACTTATCTGACTTCAAACAGCCTTAAACTACTCTGAAACAGTAACTCTTTATCCCTGAGTCAAGTAAACACGTAAAATATAGCAAAGTATACTCTGACATACATTACAACTCTGGTAAAATGTATATGATTTCCTCCTTTATATCTAATGATCTCCAGTGTTTTCTGATTGGAGCTTGTGTTTATTTGGGGTTTTACCTGAATTTGTCTTCCCTGATCCTATATGTGAGTGATGTAAGTAAACAAGGGAGAACACAACAAAGCCCCACTACATTAGTTACTGCTTATAGTTTTGTTAAATTTTCAGTGTATAAATTCTTACTTTGACAGTTAAGAAAATCTGAAGATGATGAAAAAATACTTCCATTATAAATACTGCAGGTAAAAAATGTAATCCATTTGTTATTTCAACCAAAGCTCGAGCAATGCAATCTGACTATAAAGTTAATTTAATTTTCATTTTATTTCATCTTATTCCAAGGATATACAATATAATTAGATTACAAGTTAGAGCCACTGTTGTAATATCTTTACATAGGCCTCCTCAGTGAGATGAAATCAGAAATGCTGAGCCGGCAACAACAATAGCAGCTCTCTGTTTATTTCCCAGTAGAGCCTCTCCTCACTTCTCTTTATACTGCCTCTGTGCCTGGGCTGCTCCTGTTTGCTCGTAATTACAGATAGGAGATCTGAGGGAGTTAATCTACAGAGCTTTACTGAATGGAGGTGGAGTGAGAAAGTGTGTAGGAGACAGCCCTGGTCCAACCTTCCCAAATGTTGTCATCTGATTGAACAAAACAGTGCAGGCTAAATCACCTGATGTGCTGTCTGATGGCACGGGAAACGGCATGTGTGAAAATACAAACAATATGTTGCGCTCATATGACATTACAACATTTTACTATGTCTGTCACTTCAAATTCAGATAGAGACTTAAATGGTACCAGTTGCTGTTTAAGGGTAAATATGTCTTTAACTGCTCTTCAGGAAACAAAAACTAGTATAAAGTCTTCTCAGTACAAACACACAAAAGTGAAATTATTTATAGTAGCTTCAGAAAGTGGCATCGTTATTCAACCCCAAAGACGTGCTTGTTGTCAGTTGAAAGGACTTAAAGTGAATCTCTCATAGCATGCTTTAGGCCTCTGTCAATTACGATAATCAAATTTTGGAATGTGTACACAACTTGTTAGTGAATTCTGACAAAAAATTGATCACTAGAACTAACTTCTTTGTTAGTATCGCTCCTTGTGATATTGGATCAAATCACAATTAAATATGCAAATAGTTGAATACAACCTATTGGCAAAAACACACAAAAAACATTGATTTCTTGGCAGTGATTTGCATTCTACACAGACAGTAATCCTAACTGATGGGATCACCTGAACTTACAGAGAGGAAGAACCACACATGAGGACACCTAGTGGACACACAGGATATGTGAATTACTAGCCTGTTAATTACACTATTTATACATATTATGCTAGTCCTTTATATAAAATTCTGTGTATATACACACACACACACATTTGTTATCTTATGACCACCCAATTATTGTGATGCATGGTTGCCATAATGCTTTGTATATAGGCTTATTGCATGAAAAATATGATCCACGTTACAAACTGAGGCTCCACTCTGTAATCAAAAGGATGTGTAGCTGTCAAGAGAAATCTATAGAAGGATGAAGTAGTGCAGAAAATAGTCATTTTACACCTGACAGAAAATCACTTGTGAATACGTCTCAGACTGGACGTCTAGGCCATATAGTTTGATGATTATTGAAATAAACAACACAATACTCCTCATAGTAACAGGTGCCACAGTGAAAATACATGGGTTATTTTAAGAGGGTTGGAGACAGTTTGGCTGTAGGAAGTGAAATATAAAAGCACTGAATCAATATTCATGGGTTTCAGCTTCCTATATATAAATAGATAATATTTTGAGGACTCTTCAAAGACATAATATTTAGTTTTGAATTACTAATTGATACGGTAACTAAATGGTGCTGCATTTTCTGATTAATTAACCCATTAATATGTCAGTATATGCCAGAATTAGATTTTTGACTTTTTATATTCTTTATTTCAGGCTGAAATCTCCAGCTCTGATTGAAAAAAGTAAGCTGTACAGAACGTTCAAAACCTAGATGAACTGTTGATAGTTGGACTAAGGCTCTTTTCACTGAATCATGGGACAAATTGTATGCACTACTCCGATCCACTTCAGCCCAATGATACGCCTCCTGCTCCCTTCTCTACAAACTTGTGTGTTTTTGTCTCCCTGTCCAAGTGTTTACTCTGGCTGGACCTCTTTTTTCTTCTCTAGCGCTATCTCTTCCATCCACTTCCATCCTGCAAGTCCTCCAGCTTAACAAAACCTCCTTTTAGGACAGCACAAAGGCAGCTATGTCCTTCTTTGTGTCATGCTTGTTTCCCTGTCTCGCCTATGTTCTGGCAGTCAGCAACTCGCGCCTGCTTGCACATTCTCCACACACCACCCCTCTACTCCTCCTTCTCCTACTTCTTGTCCAGACTGCAATAATAATGTGTCTAAGTGCAGCTCAGCATGGCACTCAATGGGGACTCTTTTCTATACCACCTGCCATTTATCTAACCCAGGGCTGGTTTACAGGTGGATAGATAGACAAAGCTCATGGCTCAGATGTTTGAAGAGGTGGAGAGAAGGCCATGTTGCCTGCTGGGCCCCCTAAGCAACCATTCTCTGCTACATTTTCACATACTGCAATAGTAACCCAATACCTGGTGCGTTGTTGGTAGGAGTCTATGCATGAGGGAGCCTTAAGAACACTTACAAAGTTTGCTGTATATAACATATGTTTGTTCCACCTACAGCTTTACAGACTGCAGGCTCGTTCAAAAATCCAGCCAAGATTGATTTGCTTTTTTTAATCACAGACATTTTGTCCATACTTCCTTTTCTTTTCTAAATCTCCAGCAGCTGTTTTTTGTTTGCTCTAAAGATCATTTGTGAGATTAACGATGCTTTGCACCATCCTCAAGTGGAGAAATTTTTACTTACAATTCTATTTTTTGCTTCATAGCCTTATTTATCAGGCTTAATGTAAACCTCGATAGTGTGCTTACTGTAGATAAAGGCATTTCTTTAGAGAATTCTGGATATTTATTGTGTTTTTCCCATTTGAGCAAGAGGCATTTATTTAGAGAAAGGCTGCACACTGTATTGTAATTCATCCATAATGCTTTTGTCACAGCTAAAACCATAACAGGGATTGTGTTGTGCTCAGAAAGAGAGGAGTGAGACAAACACAAGCTATAATGGTGGCTTTAAATGTAACCTTCAGAAATATTACCCTTGATAGAACTGTCTGCCTGTACCCGCTGTCAATTTGTAGAGCAAATGGGCAAAGAAAGAGGGTTTTGTGTTGCATGGATGTGAACAGTTATTACTACTTTGTGTCTAGCCTGTCCACAGCCCTGCCTCAAACCCCCCGGGGCCATCCGCCTGTTGGTTGCACTGATTTTATCTGTAAATGTGAACTCAAAAGCTCACAGCAACACTTTTCAAAGGACTACAAAATGAAAACTACAAAGGACTACACAGTACATGGGTTTTAAGAGAAATGTTTATGTGTAGTGTTCTCTAACTTTGTTATATTTTTAAAAAGTTAAATACCTATGTATTCTTTGCAGCAAGGTTTTATTACACCTATACACATGCAGGATATATTTACCTTTTTACTTTCATAATGTGTTTATTACAAAATTATTTATTTCTTTTGAAAACTTTATTTTCAAAGTTGTTCTCCCATTAGTAACTTCATATTTCACACAGCTAAATACTGTAGTGGTTGGTCTAAGATGCAATGTCCAGTTGAACCACCAGAGAGCAGTTGAGGGCAGCTGTTTTTTTTTTTTTTTTTTTTCTTTCAAATAAGCTAAGCAGGGGATCATGCGGTCTATGATCAAAACTACAGTGAGAACCTGTAGCCACTATCAACTTAATGAGAAGTTGAAGGAACATGTAAGGAAAATGCTCATAATATACACGTACGCCCCTAGTATAGTCTATTGCCCTATTAGAAAAAATAAGCTTTCTGTAATTACAGGATACATTCAAGAATTCTCTACAGCCATGAACATCCACACTGCTCACTGGAACTTTTTTTATTTTCTTTTTTAAATAATTTATAACAGAAAAGTTCCCCCGGAAGCATGATACTGAACTCTTTACAGAAGCCAAATGTAAATGGGGCTCATAATAGCCCTCTTGCACGCTCCGCCCACACTGAGTTGTCCTGGGAAACACTAACAACTGTAAGAAAGTGCAGCCACTCTCTGCGTCTCTGCGGGCATAGCTCTGGGACGGAACAGAAAAGCGCACTGGCGGCCACACATTACGCGCAACCAACACTGCGGAACTTTGTACAAGAACTGCGAAGATAACCGAATCCCATTCATTGGGAGGATTATTATTATGTGCCCAAAAGCCGCTACTTCATGCTGAGCGTCATCTGTCGCCGCTTGAGGTAAGGACAGGATCTTTCACACTACAGGGGCCTATATTAACATTATAGTTGGACTGAAAGGGCGTTTACGTGCAACTATAAAAGTAACTTGAACCAAAAAGTTGTGTAATAGCGCATTCAGGCTGTTTTACGTGTTGCTTGGTAGCCATGACATCCTCATTGAAGTCATTGGCCGTGTGGGAGCTTCTCATGTTTCTGTGAACACAGCGAGAGCGAGGGAGGACAATGTGGTGTGATAGAAATGTAACAGGATACAAAAGAGACTCGATTGTAGCCTGATCCACTGTGTATCATTCAGAGGAAGAAGAATACAAATGGCAAAGTACGTTATCGTGAGCTCTGCAATGATTTGGTAAAAACAGGACTAAAAAGGCCAATGCACTGATGTGACGTGATGGTTTACTTAATAGGCCTAAGTAAGTTACTGTGGATTTAACACCAAAAAGTTTTATTTTTAATTAAAAAAAAGTTCATGTGTACATTGACACCTCCCTATATTAATATTAATATTGGCCTATTCATTGGGACACATGAGGACCAGATAGAGCAGTGCTCAGTAGCATCAGCTGACCTCACCACATGCTTCATTTACATGAGTGGGAGGGTCTGCTCACATGTAGGCTTTAAACAGTAGCCCACTAATTCATTTACACTCGCTTGACATCACCCATTTGAACTTTTAAATGGGCAGAGACTTGCAGTAAACACTACTACTTACTGGTTTCCTGCTTTAACACACCCTGTATCTTTTGGGAAACATGTGTCTTAATTTCAGGTCTTAGATTTCAATGTTCAACAATCAAACAAAAGTTACGATCATGTTACATTTCTATTAGGCCAATTGGTGCATCATAGTCCTATCTGTGTTATTTAACCTAAATCCCCACCATGTGAGATGATGGACAAAAAATAGGCTGTAATGAAGAAATAATGTTAGTGGTTTTTTTTTTGTTTTTTTTTTTAATTAAGCATCACTATGAAACTTTGAAAAAACATGCACCATTACTGTGAGGTATGTCTCCCCTTGGAATGATTCACAGAATCGGTCTATCTCCATGGAGTCATACTGGTGACATGCCCACCACCTGGTGCTTTTTAAAGTAATATTTTACTCTTTTTGTCACTAATTACTTTTTCATAAGTTAAATCTTAAATTATAAATAATTTTTTGCTAACTCTTTCACATTTAGTTTAAAAGGGCTTGGGTTTTCCTGACCAATAACTTGCGAAAACCTTGACAAAAACTCAAGTGCCACTGTGTCGGATGAGCTGAAAGGATTTAAGGATTTGAACCATGTTTTATTGGTTTCCCGTCAAAGAAATGGCCTTTATCTGTTGTTGGGGCAGGTGGATGACAAATACTCGACACGGTTGAAATCACAGCCTTCACAATAATGTCTTGACCCCTGTGATTGTCTGCCCCCAAACTGCTTTTGTCACGGGCACATATCCGGCAGGCCTGACGTCAGGTAACCAATCACCTTGCCGCTTCTCAGCGTAAAGATTTTGGCTTGTTAAACTTGCACAGTTTATTTGTGTGAGCATCAGTAATGAGTTCCTTAGGTCAGCAGTGAATGACTAATAAGGAAGATGTGACTTTAGGTATTAAAGAAAACTTATTGTGCTTGTGTCTGTTATATAGTTATAATCTATGACATCCATGGATCATTATGTTATAAGTTGGACATTTTAAATCACAATATTGATCTAAAATTACTTAATAAAAAAAACGCGTCGAAAACTGTGGTATCCGATGGGATCTGATGTGGCCATAAATGTCATGACAACAAAGATCTGTAACGTCATTGCCAAATCCTATGAATAGCTGCACATCATGCTAGTGAGCCACAGTTTTTTTTTTCACTTGTACCAAAATGACTATACTATGCTGAAGAATCCTATGCGTGTCACAGATTAAGAAAATACAACTGGAGAACAGAATACAGAGCAGAGGGTGTATGCTGGTGGTGGTCAAAACGGGGGTTGATTGGCAAAATGTCATCTTGAAAATCAGTTATTAAATATTGCTTAAACATGCACGAATCACTCCAAATACAACTTTGGGTGAGTAAATGGTGTTTGGTTAAAAGCTTTGAAAAGTAAATTTTGCATAATAGGTCTGCTTTAATGGCCTGTATAAGAAAAGCAGGGTAGAAGTCAGATTGTGCATACGCCTATGAGACAACATAGGTGTGTTTTATTCAATTTCTTAGTTTGATAATGTTTAACTTTTATGTACTGGTAGTATGAACTCTGACTTCACCTTCAGTGTCTGAACTGTGCAAGGAAGTTTACATTTCAAGTGCAGAGGTTAAAGATGAGAAAATACTGATCTGTTCTGAAAAAAACAAAAGCACCGTTGCAAAAAATGTAAAAGCTCAATACTTACTAATGTAGAAGGATAACTTAGAGTTAGAAGCAGGCAGATTATTGAATTCATTTGTGAGTTTTGAACATATGCAAAATTTGAACATTGAGTTTATTGTTTAGTAAAAATAGCTTCAAAAAGCACTGATTTAAAAAAAAAAAAAAAAAAAAAAAAACACCAATTAATCTATGTACTTTTGGAGGAAATTGTACAGTTGTTTTACATTTTTAAACTTCAACTAAAAGACATAAAGACATTTTTTCACGGTTTGGACTAATATTGTTAACACTCCTAAAAAAATACTCTGTCTGTATCACCCAGCCCTACTTAGAATAAATTATATTGTACTCATATGGAGTTTTGGGACTGCAAACAGACTTACACTAGTAAACATCCTGCCACAACACAGTTTTTTTTTATTCCGGAGACTATCAGTAGGGGCTCCCACTAAACAAAAGCTTATTAGAGCGCTGCTGTGTCTCTTCCAGCTGAGACTTCCTTGTGTGCCAGTTCGAGCTAGAAATATGTATTTAGTTCCAGTACAAGAGACAAATGAAAGAGGATTGGTCCCCCTTTTGGAGTGCCTGTAAATTACCACGAGGATTCCGCTGGCTCCAAGCTCAGCCCAGTCAATTTCTCAACTTCACAAACCCCGTAATTTAATGATGATCGAGGATGCACGCACTGTCAACCTTGTAATTACTCTGTATCTACTGTAGAATGGCAGCATTAGAGGATAACTTACAGGTAGCACATCTTGGTGTTTTGCTGTTTATAGTTTTTTATATGTTCCTGGATGATACCACATTCCCTGCTGTTATCTTCCATAAAACCGAGAGTTAGTTTTTGTTAAGCTAGGAATCACTGGAATCCCCACAGCACGCCAAAGAGCAAATGCACTAGTTGTTCCAAAACAGGCCATAGCTGTTGCATTGTGTGGTTTGTGGTGTCTTATAACTTCTGGGTTGTTGAGGACACGCTTTATGTTAGCTTTGCCAGTTGTAATGAAAACATGACTTTCGAAAACTTACTGGTGTTTCTATGCTCTATGGCTGAAGGAGTTACACTTATAGGGATGAGAAACAGAATTGTCACAAGCATTTTTCAGTTAGTATGAGTAATATTGTGTTGTATAATCATTGTTAGAATTAGATATTTAGTTTTATTCTGTCAAGCCAAATGTGTTTATTTTGATCTCAGGCAGATAACAAAATTTTGTAAAAATTGTATAATGTCATTACAAGCTCAGAGGAATTTCTGCTTGGAACAGTCCAAAGAGTCAGTGTTCAGTAGTTATCAATAGTTATCATTATCAGTATTTTATTTGTCACTGTGAATAGGAAATAGCTGTACTAGAATAATATAGTAATACCTAAGACATAGTAGTTTTAACCATTTACTATGTCAGTGCATTTATACAAGTGTTCACAGCAGTTTTATTGTTGCTATTATAGTTACAGAATAGCTTGTGATAAAAATTTTGAATTTGCTGATATTGTGATGACATAGGTATGCTTACCTGTGCAGTGTGACAAAATTCTAATATGGCATTAAAGCTAGAGCCAAAAGTGTATTTTGAATAAGAAAGAGATACAGGAGCCACCTGATGTGTGGCCCTAAGCTCCGCCCATTTTCTGACATCAGCCTTTGATCTGTCTGCTGTGTGTGTTAGCACAGGGCCATATTTAGCTGAGTGTAATCAGTGTACTGAGCGCTCACATGCCCGCTGCTTAGGATACCTGCCTATGTAAACACACCTGCCTTTTCTGATGCGCTCAAAATGAACTTAATGTGCACCTGAAGCATTCTGCACCCAGCCGCCGCCTGCCAACTCACTGCGGGTAAGCTTCCTCCTGTCGCTTTCATGTGAGCCTTACTAGCACAAACTCAAATCAAGTGTTTTTTGGGAAAGTATAAACACTACATCAAGATCGATAGTTTAGTGTGCATTTCTTTGTTGTTATTTATTTTTTTTTATTTTGCTGTTTGTCTTTTGGATAACTCCCAGGGCAAAGTCTGACTGATGCACCTGCAATGTGTTGCAATGTCTGCCTTACTGATAAGCTCCATGGTTTTAATAACAACCTGTGGGCCCATGTGAATCCACAGTTAAAATTACATTCAAATGGAGCTGGGTTGAAAAGCCAAACTGTTTATCTGTGATGACCTACATATCATGATCTGCCTACTGCTACTGTTAGCTTTATTTTTATTTCCCCTTTTAGTAGACGTTGCAACAATTGTACTTCCCCGAGTGCTGACAGTGTGGATAAATTAAAGAGAAATCACCATAGAAACAAAACTATGTCACCTTGTGAGTAATTCTTTAAAAAGTTAAGGGCCCCACAGAGGTCATCAATACAGGGAAACAGATAGAGTGTCATGCATTTTTATGGCTAATTTAGAGTTTCTTATTGACTTGCTTGACATGACTTAACTTCAGTGACTTACTAACTGGCATTCTTTCTTTGAGTGTGGTAAATGAAACATTCAATACCTATACTGACAGTTTGACACTGAAAGCCATAAGAAACTGGAATACAGTATTTTATGTAACTGAACTATGAACACTGCCATTGCAGCACAATATTACTGCAAGTGTTAACCTCAAATCCTTTCACTCTTTTTCTTA